CGGGGCTCTCACTGTTGTGGCCTCTCCCGTTGTGGAGCACAGGCTCTGGACGCGCAGGCTCAGCGGCCATGGCTCATGGGCCCAGCCGCTCCGCGGCATGTGGGATCTTCCCGGACCGGGGCACGAACTCGTGTCCCCTGCATCGGCAGGTGGACTCTCAACCATTGCGCCACCAGGGAAGCCCAACACTGCCTTTCTAAAGGAGACAGCTGCTGCCCAGTTCCAGCTGGTGTTACATTTAAGAAATTTAGCCTTAAATTTACTGTGATGTATCTTTCTATTCAATAATACAAAAGAAACTGGAAATCTAGACTTCTATGTGAAATGTCCAGATTTTCAAAATTTTGCAATGAATACTTTGTAAAACAATGCACAGGCTATCTGACACTGGAACTTCATAAACTGCCATGTGTGGTCGCATTACAGGGCCTTATACTTACTCATTTAGGGTGAGAAAGATGTAGTTCAGAGAGTGTGTTTGCCATATACAAGCTCAGACTTGCTCATCATCTGCCATTGTCATTTTCTCAGTTGATCTCCTGATTCCCCTCAAAGGAAAACTATTCTTGGTTTTAAGAGAATCATTCAATTAATTGATTTTCTTTATGTAACCATAGATGTACATGTCCAGAAGGTACCTTGGAGGTCATTTAGTATCAGTTAGCCCAAAGTACTCTTGTTAGAGATGTGACCCAAAGAGACTTTTATTTTAACGACCCACAGAGTGGAATCTAGATTGTCATGATAAAGTTCTAAAAGCTGCTAGAACCCAACTATTCACAGTCCTTGCCTAAAGGAAGACTCTGCATGAAAAAGGTGGGAAAAGAGCTCAAGATGAAAATATCCATCTACTGAAATTAGAGCATTTGCTCACAAAGAAATTGTTCACCTCTTTGAGACTGTCTTCCCATCATTTCTCATTTGGTGTCAAAAATCTATTTCCTTCACTTCTGATCTTGATCACTTTCTCTGCTTGAGCATGCTTATCACAATTCTAGAAGAGGTGAGAGAAACGACTGGTTTGGAAGCCCTGGAGTGTTGGCCATTCTGTTATTGGCTACAGATGGAAAAGGCAGGTCCTATAATTGCACTTTCTGCAATTATTCTCTTGGTTCCATGCTTTTGTTATTTCCGAAGTTGCCCTTCCTCTCTAGGCAAAGAGGATTCCCATGAACGTTTCCATCCCGTGGACTTACTGTAGTCATAGGATTCAAATAGCCCTTCCTCCAGATCCAAAGTACAAGCCCTAAAACTTCTAGAAATGTGATGAATCATCTTCAACTGAGAATCAGTGAATACTCTGGAATTTTTGAGTCCATATTAAAACTCATATGAGTAAGGAGAAAGTCAGTGCCATTCCTTTCTTAGCGGTTTTTAAAGCACTCAAAATATACATTCAGGGCTTCCCTGGTGGCGTAGTGGTTGAGAGTCCGCCTGCCGATGTAGGGGACAC